CTCCCCCCTTGCAAACCCTCCCCACCTTCTCCAAACCCCACCTTGCACACCCTCCTCACCTTCTCCAAACCCACCCCTTGCACAGCCTCCTCACCTTCTCCAAACCACCCCCCCACACCCCCCCAAGCGTTCTTTCTTACCCTGACTCACTGCTCCTCCAATCACAGGGCTGTTGCTCTTCCACCGTCAGCCAATCGGCTGCGAGTGTGGGAGAGGCGCAGCGGTGCGGGATTGGTCAAGGAGGCTTCCATCCGGTTGAGCCCATTCAATCCCCCCGGGGGGCGGGGGGGTGGTGGTGGTGCTGAGGGTGGGAAATGAATCATCTCGAAAAGGCTGCTCCCGCGATCAGATTCTCTCGAGGCTTTTGGGGAGATTTCGGGGCCTGGGGGAAAAGAAGGGGATTTGATGCCCCCCCCCCATGACTAGGTCCTGCGGAACTGGTTTTGAAATCTCCCGGTAATGGATTCCGAGGGAGGTTTTGAGTCCTGGGGCCCCCAGAAAGATTCTCCCGCGGCCCGTTGGGAGCGGACAGTGGTGCTGGAGCTCAGTAGTTGCGACGTTGGAAGATTCCTTTGGATCGCCCGGGGCTGGGTACCTCGTCCTCGTCCATGTCCAGCTCGAAGATATCCTTCCCGGTCTTCATCATCTGCTCCTCGATCTTCCTGTGCCGCTTCATGTCCGACAGGACCTTGTCCAAGCGAGCCTGCCTTCTCTGTGTCCGACTCGAGCTGCCCGCTGGTGGGTGGGTGGGTAGGTGGGGGTTAGAGAAGACGTTAGGGCTGGCCCTGCTCGGTCAGGGTACGGACCTTTAACCTAGACCCTCCTGAACTCTGAGCGTACAGTCACCCCCATTCCACCCCACCCCTCCGAACCCCGCGGGGTACAGTCACCCCCCATCTCCCCGATCCCCGCGGGGTACAGTCACACCCCCATTCCCCCCACCTCCCCGATCCCCGCTGGGTACAGTCACCCCCATTCCCCTCCCCGATCCCCACAGGGTAAGTCGCCCCCATTCCCCGCAGGGTACAGTCGAGCCCATTCACCCTCACTGCCCTGTCTCTGCGGGGTCCAGTCAGCAAATTCACCCCAACCCCCCACCACCGGTTCCCCTGATCTCTGTGGGTACAGTTATCCAGGAACCCTCTTCCGACTCTCTGTGGGTCACTCTGCCCAGTACACCCCTAACCCCCTTCCCCGATCGCGTCCTCACCCCCTCCCCCTGACACTGGGCATGTGGTTCCCTCGCACACTCACCTGGAGTCCTTCGCACACCCAGGAATGATTTTTGTGGGGTGGGCTCATCATCAAAATCAAACTCTGTTGGTACATGGGGCCTGGAACAGAGAGAGGGCGAGACTGAGGTGCTGGACACGCTGTGTATGAGTGGGGGAGGAGGGGGGGGGGGAGGGGAGAGGGGGGAGCGTGACAGAGAGAAGGGGAGGGAGAAAGAGAGGGAGGGTGAGAGGGAGGGTGAGAGGGAGAGGGGAGAGGACAGAGAGAGAGAGTGGGGGTGAAGGGGACAGGAGGAGAGATAGAGAGAGAGAGAGAGGTAGAGAGAGAGATAGAGAGAGAGGAGGAGGGGTCAGAGAAAGAGAGAGTAGGGGGAGGGGATATAGAGAGAGAGAGCGAGGGGGGCGCAGAGAGATGGGGGGGGCGCAGA